TTACCCCGGTACAAATCATTAGTAAGACCTCATCTGGAATATGCAGTTCAGTTTTGGACACCAATTCACAAAAAGAACATTGGGGAACTGGAGAAAGTACAGAGAAGGGCAACCAAACTGATAAGAGGCATGGAGGATCTCAGCTATGAGGAAAGATTAGAGGAACTGAATTTATTCTCTCTTGAGAATAGGAGATTAAGGGGGGATATGATCAACATGTATAAATATATCAGTGGTTCATATAGTGAACTCGGTGTAGAGCTATTCACCTTGAGGTCATCACAGAGGACAAGGGGGCACACTTTACATCTGGAGGAAAAGAAATGTAATCTCCAAACATGGAAAGGTTTCTTCACAGTAAGAGCTGTGAAAATGTGGAATATACTCCCTCAAGAGTTGGTTCTGGCCAGCTCAGTGGATTACTTTAAAAAATGCCTGGGTTCTTTCTTGGATACACAGAATTTAACTGGTTACTAACATTTATAGGTAAAGTTGATCCAGGGAATATCCGATTGCCTCTCAGGGATCAGGATGGAAGTTTTTTCCCCTGCAGGAGCAAATTGGATCATGCTTTGCTCTTTTGTTTTTTGTTTTTTTGCCTTCCTCTGGTTCAACTGTGGGTGTAGGATTATACATTTATTTTTCTTTTTTTTTTTAATGGTTGAACTAACTATGTAACTATGTAATATCATTTTACATAGTTGCTGGTTGTTCCACTTTCTGACTTTTTCAAATTTCCCTTGCCCACCCCATGTCCTGCAGATTGCCCTACCAGGCAAGGGTGTCACATAGGTTGCTGTAACAGGTGGCAATTTTTTTTACAATCGCAATCACAGTCCTTCTCTCCAGGATGGCATTATCTTTGTTCAGGGTCTCTTCCTTCATGATGTGCTATGTCCTGGATTGCGATTCTGGCTCAGGATTGACACAGTCATATGGATTCTGGTGCCTGTGAAGGTCTTGGCTGTTTTAGAGAGGAATTGCAGGTATAGATATTTTATACATAGTTACATTTGTCCAGCTTTGACCAATGTAACTATGTATATACCATACCTGGCCTGTGCCCCTGGAAGTTGGAAATCACAGGAGACACTACTAATCCAGTGAGCTCCACTTGCTTCTGAGTCCCATACTGAGCAGTCAGCCTGCTTATTTCTGAAAACAGGAGGTTGGCCGCTTGACAAGGGCACCAATTAGAGAATGCTTTGCATTTCTTGAATGAATTCAAAGCATTACCTGATTGCATGAGGTCAAAGCATTTAATGCTTTGCATTCATTAGGAAAATGCAAAGCATTCTCTGAATAATACTCATGCTGAGCAGATGACCTCCTGTGTTCACAATGCAGAAGGCCACATGCTCAGCGCAGGGTCCTGAAGCTGGTGGAGATCATTGTAGTAGTGGTGTCTATTTCACTGATTTCCAGCTGCCAGCAACATTGGCCAGTTATGGTATATACATAGTTACATCGAACCAAGCTGGATCAATGTAACTATGTATGAAATATCTATACCTGGAACTCATCTTTAACTAATGTTTGGCATTGCAGCCCTCTTTGCAGCCTTTTACTTTGTGACAACTTTATAAGGATGCTGTCCGGTCACTACAAGAAGATAGAATGAAGAAATACTTCTTCCTTCCCGCAGTTAATGACATAGTGTTAGGTAGGCAAAGTCATTTGATAGGAGCTCCAGGACAGCTTTTAGACCTCATTCACACCATACGTGCAGAAAAACTGATGGAAACTGAGGCGCACGGATTTCACTTGCAGAGACATCAGTTTGCATCAATTTTCATGCACGCTTCAATGAGTTTTATACACGGTGCAGATTCCTGAGCAGAAGAAAATATGCACATGATGCCAGTGTTGTGGTGTGAACAGGGAACATAGAGAAAAATTGATTTTGTTGTGCCCTTGCAGATTGTGTGCAGAAAAACTGACATCTCTGCACCATTGATGTGAATGAGCCCTTACGGATTAAGTTATTTTGCAAAGTTAATAATGTTGCTGTATATAGATACATTTCAGCAATTTCTTCATTTGTAAAGTCACTGAAAGGTCCACTTTAGGAACCTCAGCTATATAAACCTTTTTGAGCCTGGTATACCTAGGAAGGATTTTGGTAGGTATCAGCAATTTAGGGTAAGCTCCTCCTTTTCATGTAATACATACCAGGTCCGAGTCAACAAAGGAGTAAAGGGAAAAATGTTTGCATATTTTGCTCAAAAAGTCATTATTTTATTACAGTTAACAATTTCAGCCTGGCTTTTAAACTCTTTCTAAAATATGTAGCTAATATTTTTTTGTGTGTATGTGTTTGTATAATAATTACATGATGTATAGTATTATAAAACAGTATGATAATAAATAGGAACAGTAAACACATTAGCAGTCTGTTTTGGATTTGTTGGTTTCTTTAGGAAGCTATGACATATAAACCATTCTCTTCTAACCTTGTCTTGTATCCCCACTGCTCCCAATCTTGTCCTTTGACTCATTAACCCCAAGCTTGTGCTGTGTCCGGCTCAGCCCAACCCTGGCTTGTAACCCAATTTCCCTAACCTTGTTGTGTGACTATTTACCCCTAACCTTCCCCTATGACCCATCCCATGTGACCCACCTACCTGCATCATTCTATGACTCTCTCCTTAGTCTTCTCCTGTGATTCATTTTCTCTAACCTTTTCTTGTGACCTATTCACCCCTTATCTTGATGAATCAGTGGTCTTACAGATGAGCAGAAACAAGGAGGAAGAGAAAAAAATGGGGGGTTGAAAACAACGAGAGAGATCCTTTTAAGGGTAGTATTCAGTTGAACATATGGGCAGAGTAGGTGTAGTGTAGTAAGCATATACTCACATTCTAGGGTCCTATGGTCAAGCAACCTATTTTAGCACATGTGGAGAATATGATTGTCTCTATGCAGAGTGTGGGTAGTCACACTCGAGGCTCGTCGGGGTTTTCTGGAAATTCTTGCACGATGTTTGGTTGCAAACAGATCCGGTGAACAACAGTAGATAAAAAATAAGGCCCCCAAAATGGAACCAGTGTGTGGTCAGCAGAGGCGCCCATTCAATAAAAAGGTGCTTCCAAGTGGATTCTTCTGTTTTTACAGTATGCTCTGGGCTGAAGAAATGCACACAGATTTCAGGCACTAAGGTGTACTGTACACTTTTTCCTGATGAAGTGGCCACTAAAGAGCAACTAAACGTGTTGGTGTTTTAACTTTTTTTCATGATCAATAAATACCAACCTTCCTGGAGAATCCACTTGGAAGCACCTTTTTATTGAATGGGTACCTCTGTTGCCCACACACTGGTTCCATTTTGGGTCCTTATTCTATCCACCCCTTATCTTCTCCTTTGAGCCACTCTCCCTAACCTTGTCCCATTTTTCAAAGAAGAGTTTTGGAAAAACCTAATAGGATTCATATGTATTGAACCTATCATATTTATTGAACCTATTATATATAAACACGAAGAGCAAAATATAGAAAATACTGAGTAGTTGTTATTCTGCTCTCCTGCTTAATTTGATGTTTATGTCCTCTGTAATTCCACTAATCATATAGTCTACAAAGTCTTTGGTTTACCAGAAGATCAGGGCGTATTTATCATTCAAAAAATCTAGCACATACCATGTCACAAAGTTCAGTTCATATAAAAAATGGGGACATTATGGCAATTGTTTTCACTTTAAATTGACTTTATTTATTTAAACTTTGGACCAACCATTATTGTAATCTTAGGCCAAAAAACTTTTAGAACAATATAAGAGTGTTCCATGAGGTACAAAGCTACTTGTTTTTTTTTTTTTTTTTTCAAGAGTGTTAGAAAATCATATTAATGAACATAAAAGGACCATGTTGCATTTTTTAAAATCAGTTTTTGTGATGGAACTGATGCCGCTCGTGTGAAATGTCCCTAAATCTTAATCTGTATTTATAAAAATAACTCTAAAATGCTTGTAGTACCCCAATTGCACCTCAGAGCGCCGCTGTTGAACCAATAAGGGAATGATGTGAGAGATACATGCCTCTATGAGACAGGCAGTACAACTGCAAGAGTAGATATAGAGCATTTTTGCATGAGATGGGAGGGATTCAGGTCTGATAAAGAAGAAGGTATCCTGGAATTTAAATACAGTTAAGGATTATACATTCTACAAAGGATTCCCTTATATATTCCCAACAACAGAAGGAATGGCTGTCTTGAAGATGCATCATCAACATTCTCTCCTGGAAATCAGATGGCAAGTAGTGATTTCATTATTTTCCTGGCTGTGTCATTCAGTCTCTGCTCAGATTCAGTATTCCATTGTAGAAGAAATGAGGAAAGGTTCAGTTGTTGGTGATTTAGTGAAAGATCTTGGAATGAATGTGAAGGATATCACAGCAAGAAAACTCCATATTGTGTCTGATGTTTCTGAAAAATATTTCAGTATCAATCTGGAGAATGGAGACCTTTTCATTGCAGAGAGGATAGACAGAGAGACATTGTGTGGGGCTGCAGCTGATTGTGTCCTGGCCTTTGATGCTGTGGCTGAGAATCCTTTAAATGTGTTTAATGTTAGGATTGAAATTCAAGATATAAATGACAATCCACCAAGATTTCTCCATGAAACTATTCGATTAGAAATAAGTGAATCTGCTTTACCAGGAGCAAAGTTTGTTTTGCAGAAAGCAGAGGATTTGGATATAGGAATGAATACACTGAAAAGCTACAAGCTGAGTCCAAATGAGCACTTTGTCTTAGGAGAAAGGATCAGCTCTGATGGCAGTATATTTCCTGAACTAGTTCTAGAAAAGCCTCTAGACCGAGAGAAACAAAATCACCATGAACTAATTCTATCAGCTTTTGATGGAGGAAATCCAGTACAAACAGGCACTGCACTGATTAAGATTGCCATCATTGATATCAATGATAATATACCTATATTTACCCAAGAAATATATAAAATAAGCATTAAGGAAATATACCTTTAAATTCTACAGTTCTGCAGGTCAGGGCAACTGATGATGATGAAGGTGTAAATGCTCAGATTACATATTCATTTAGTACCCTGGCAAATAGCATTCTCCAGATGTTTACAATTAATCACAAGAATGGAGACATCAGAACAAAGGGACATTTAGATTATGAAATGAAAAAACACTATGAAATATCTGTACAAGCCATGGATGGAGGGGGCCTGGCTGCCCATGCTAAAGTTTTAATAGAGATATTGGATGAGAATGACAATGTTCCTGAGATAACCCTCACCTCCCTGTCTTCTCCTATTCCTGAAGACACATCACCTGGAACTGTGGTGGCTCTCATTGCAGTTCGTGATAAAGACTCAGGAGAAAATGGAGAAGTTCAGTGTCAGGTCATTGGGGATATTCCATTTGAATTAGTGTCATCAGCAGGTAACTTCTATAAAATTGTTACAAAAGATTCCCTGGACAGAGAAAAGATGTCATCCTATAACATCACCATTCAAGCATCTGACAAGGGTTCTCCTCTTTTGTCTTCTGTAAAAGTCATCTATTTGGAGTTGGCGGATGTTAATGACAATGCACCTGTTTTTGAGAAGCTGACTTACACTGCATTTGTACCAGAAAATAATTTACCAGGATCTTCTATATTCCATGTTCAAGCAAAAGATATTGACAGTGAAGAAAATGCAAAACTGACTTACTTTATAGTAAGTAACAATAATGACAAAGATTCCATATCCTTTCATGTATCTATAAATCCAGTGACTGGAGTCATATATGCACAAAAGTCCTTTGATTATGAGCAACACAGAGAATTCCACCTTCGGGTGATTGCTAAAGATAATGGTTTTCCATCACTGAACAGCAGCACAACTCTAAAAATTCATGTGGTAGACCAGAATGATAACTCACCAGTCATCTTATACCCACCAAGAGATAGTGATGGCCCTGTCTTTGAGATGGTGCCTTGGTCATCTGAACAAGGATCCTTAGTATCTAAAGTGGTTGCAGTGGATGCGGATTCTGGACACAATGCCTGGTTGTCTTATTTTTTGCAAACGTCTGATCCATCACTTTTTACTATTGATCAGTACACTGGGGAGATCAAAACATTGAATGTTTTTCATGATAGAGATTCTTCAAAACATAAAGTTGTAGTTACAGTAAAAGACAATGGGTCACCCACCTCTTTCTGCTTCTGTGACTTTAAACCTGGTGATTGCTGATAATTTTCAGCAGATAATTCCTGAAATGAAGAAACAGCCAAGCAAACTGGACTCTCAGTCGAACTTGCAAATGTACCTGGTGATTGCCTTGGCATTGATTACCTTTTTTTGTTTGTATTCACTGTCATAGTCATTGTGGTCTCCAAATGCAGAGAGTCTAAATCTTTGCCTTCCTTTGGCCCTGTGAATACACAACTATATCATACTGTAGATCCAAGGTTTATTTCCCAGTTTAATGATGGAACATTGCAGCTGCCCTACTCATACAATGTTTGTCCAACTCTGGATTCAGCAGACTTTGCTTTCTTAAAAACTCAGCAGTGTGTTCCGGTTGTTCCTGTGGATAGACTAATTGATGCTGATGACTCTGGAATTGGTAATGAAAACATAAGAGACCCTATTGCTGATAAAAGTCTTATTTTGCAGGTATGTTCCAACTGCTCTAATACAATGTTGCAGATCTGTTTGTTTTAAAGTCTGTATTGATCCATATAGTGTTGACGAATCAGATGAGGTGTCTAATGATTTTGTAATTTGTTTTTTAATGATCTATTGTGACCATAAGACTTCCATAGTTTTTAATCCAACACTCATAAAGCATCCCATTTAGTTTTTTAGCCTTGCACAAGAGACCAAAATCCCTCGTGGTATAAAAGACTCTAGTCCACAATGTATTCACACTCAGAAAAAATATAAGCATAAAAACTTTATAGTGACAAAACACTAGTGATTGTCATTATTTACTAAATAAACTATATTATGTATATACGATAGAGTAAGGGTCAATTTTGTACCACAAGCCTCACACTAGTCAAAAACAAGAATTTCTAGTTTTGGAGTGAGACATTCCTAGCTCTTTTGGTTGTACTTTTTTGGATCACAGGAGTGTAGTTCATTCTGCACTCCTGTAACCCGTTTTTTTAGCTGACAGTGGGCTGAAACCTGCTGTCGGCTGACATCACTCAGGCTGGGGAAAGATCCTGACTTTAAAGTCGGGATCCACCCCAGAGTCTGGAGCAGCACCTGGCGCAGCCTCTCAGTGATCCGCTGAGCCTGAGCCAGCCGCTCCTTCCTCTCTCCACAGCCCAGTGCGCCAGTGATCACAGGGGGGCAAAGCAGACAGCGGTGACTGACAGTCATCGCTCTCTGCTTAGAGTGGCTGTGAGAACTCAGCAATCAGCAGTCATGTGATCAGGTTCAAACACTTAGAGCCGGCGGGGGACAGATGCAGCATCGGACCGATGCTGCATCCACCTAGGTAAGTATGATTTTAAAAAAAGCAATCCCACACTTCACTTCTAATTGAGATGTTTTAAAGGAACACCTATACAAAATGCTATTTATCATTTCTCAAAATGTAATGGTAAATAATGATTGGTCTTTTACAAAGGACCCTGCATTCACTATATCTGGTCTCCCACAGTAACAGAACATGAAAACGCAATTATTTTAGTAAATATAAACTGCTAAATACCTTTTTCATCACAGTTCGAGCAGTTTGGCAGCAGAGAAAGTGAGAGACTATACTTTGAAAGTAAGGAAGAACCGTTACGAGTTACAGAACAGGTTCTTTCACCCATTCTGTGTATTCTGTCTACTTTGGGATTGATTTACTAAAACTGCAGAATGCAAAATCTGGTGCAGCTCTGTATAGAAACTAATCTGCTTCCAGGTGTTTTGTCAAAGCTTAAAGTGTTACTAAACCCAGGACCCTGCATTCACAATATCTGGCCTCCCACAGTACACAGAACATGAAAACGCAATTATTTTAGTACATATAAACTGCTAAATACCTTTTCTCATCAGCAGTTAGAGCAGTCTTGTGACTTCAGCAGAGCATGGTCAAAGCTTGTAGGAGGAGTTTTCTTACTGCACTAGGAGGATGTGAAACCTCTGACCTTCTGTCTGGACAGTACTGATTGGCTCTGTGCTGATCACATGCACTCTCCCAAGAAAAAAAAACAAAACAAACCTCGTTAGCAATACACACCAAACTGAGCATGTGCATGTGACCACTAGTTCAGTCTGTATCAGGTGGTTATTTCAACAAGAGGAGGGCAGAGAAGAAAGGATCAAACAGCTTTTTTACACAATGCAGAGGATTAACCCCTTAGGTTTCACAGTGAGTATAACAAGCATGCATATACAGACTGATTTTGCTGTTTTGGGTTTACTAACACTTTAAGAGTAATAATCAAGAGCAACTATTACAGTTCCAGTAAGTCAATACATTTTAGTTGCTTGCTATGAGTTACTATACATAAGAATTAGCACTTAAACTGTAAGTTATGTCATTTTATTTTCAATAGAGAACAGCATTTATACAGAGGGGATGGATCAGAACCTCTTCCAGGTTTTATTTTCAGTCTGTGTCTTTGGCTGACTTACTGTCACTTTCTGTCATGGCAAAAAAAAGTAATTTTATTGTTATATGTGCCCCTGCTGGAGAGATTCCTCTTTTCTGTCCCAAAGACCACAGAAAAGAATATTTCCCAGGACACAGACAAAAATAAAAACCTGACAGATACTTAAATCCTTCCCGATATAATAAACTAACACGCCAATTTTTTATTATGTTGCTGCTTATCTCACTGGGTGCAGAGGGGCTCTCTGTGATGTTAGGATACTATTGACAGTTAGCGAAACTAGTCACTCTCCAATAGAGTCTGCATGTGACCATAGATAAACCTCCACCGTCTATTTACTGAACACAAATGTTTGGTACTTGAAGGCTAATTATTTTATATGTATTTTTGAAGATCATTTTGCATAGTTGCTGGTTGTTCCATTTTCTGACCTTTTTCAAATTGTCCATGACTACCCCATGTCTCCTGGATGGCACTATCCTTATTCATGTCTCTTCCTTGATGATCTTCCTCATTCAAAATTGTGATGTTGGCTCAGGGATGACACAGTCATGTAGATTCTCTTGACTGTGAATTTCTTGGCTGTGTTAACTAATGTTTAGCACAGATCAGCCCTTTCTGCAGCCTCTTACCTTGTGACAAAGTTACAATGGTGCTCTCTGATCACTAGAAGAAGGGAGAATGAGGAAATGCTCCCCCCTGCCTGCAGCTAATAACATAGCCTAGGCAAAATCATTTGACAGGAACTCCAGGAGGATGCAAGTTAGGGCTTTTTTAAATGTGAATGATGTTGCTGTATATTGAGACATGCCAGTAATTTATTCATGCAGACCTTTAAAGTCAAAGAAAGGTCCACTTAAGGAAGCTCACCTCAATAAACCCTTTTGATGAGGTGAGCAATTTTTTAGGTGTCAGCAATTTAATGTAAGCAGCAATTTAATGTAAGCTCCTCCTTTTCATAGTACATACCAGGTCCTAGCCTGTCAACAAAGGCACAAAGTGAAAAATGATCGCATAATGTATTTGTTCAGAGTCATTATTTTATTGAAGTCAGCTTTTGCAGCCTAGGTTTCTAAGCTCTTCATAAAAAGTGTGCTAATATTTTTGTGTGTATGTGTTTGTTTGTGTGTGTGTATAGCACTATATTAAAATTTAGATTCAGATTACATTAATAATCCCAAATGGAAATTATTAGGATACAGTTACATTTAATGAAGACAACACAAGATCACAATAACAAATGGAAACAAGACACAATAAAATTACCAATAACAGTATTTAGTACCAAATAAAACAAAATTAAAACTATACTCTAATGAACCATCCATCCTATTAAAATACTACATAAAATAAATAACACAGATTGAAGAATAACAGAAAATCAAACTACAAAAATTCAAAATATTACATTATTTTCTCTAGCTGTACTCAAAATCATAATTAATCTAATACCAACATACTGTAAAAACTTTATAAAAATCCATCATAAACCAGATTAAATCCTCACATTCAGCACTCAGAGAAGAATTATATAATTTGATGGTCAAAGGCAAAATTTCCTGTGTCGCTCTGTGGTGCATCGTGGTTGTAACAATCTGTCTCTAATGTTACTCCGCAGACTGACCAGCGTATTGTGGAGTGGGTGGGAGGAGTTGAACATACCTTGAACAACATTCTCCTCCCCAACATTGTTTTGAAAGACTCCAACTCCAATCCAACAACATTGCTGGCCTTGCAAATCAGTTTGTTGAGTCTGTTGCTGTTAGCCACCCTAAGCCTGCTTCCCCAGCATGCCACCGCATACAGGAGAGCACTGGCCACCACAGACTCATAAAA